ACTCCGAGCAGCCAGTGCCACAGGAAGCAAATCTGCCAGTTTGGGCGGCCTCAGCTCCCGCTGTGGCTTTGTTTCTGCTATTTGATTTCCGTTGTCGTGGAAACGCGTGACAAGTGTCCCTCGTTAGCACTGGTCCTCCTGACACAGTCGGCGTCCAGGAGAGGCGGCGTGGAGGTTGCGGGCCTGCATTCTGTTCGGAGTTGGGATGATGAACCAGGCCTGTGCCCACTCGCAGACCCTCCTGTCCACCTGCCCCGCAGCCGGGTCTCCAGGCCCAGGCTGAGATCGAAGGCTGATCGGAGGCCAAAGTCTATTGTTCAGTTTTTCGCTGAGCCAGATAAACACGTCTTAAGTCACACACAGGAATGGGTCCTCCCTTCCTTCCTTCTTTGTGCCTTGTGGGTTGGTTTCCTGGGGAGCAGTGTGCTGGCCCATGAAGCCGTTGGTAGCAAAGATATAAATAATACTTTGTGGTTAGCAGACCCCTATCATGTAAAAACACCCCAATCCTCCCGGCAGCTGGATCCTTTGTGGTCTTCTTCAGAGTCATCCCAAAGGGGCCTTTCCCTCAAACTGCAAGTCATGGCGTGGTCCCTGCCCATGCCCCTCTGTGACTGTGCTGTGTGTCTCCTCTGTGTCCCCCTACATGCCCACCAGCCTCACGCTCCTCTGCATTTTGAACGCCTCCTCCGGCTGCACCCTCTTCACCAGTGAGTGCCCCTGTTTCTTTCTTAGCATTTCCAGCAGGTGCTAAACCCGGCCGGCCCTCATCCCTTCTCTGCTTTATGGAGGAGGGTCATTTAGACCAGCATGGAACCTGGGCTAGCCGTTTGACTTTCCCCAGGAAGATGCTGAGGACCTGGTATGAGGACAGTGGGGAAGGGGGCCCTGGTATCCGCCTCCACTCAGACGGACAGGAGCCTGATTTGCGGAACGAAGCACGCTGGGAAGTTTCCATCACTCTAGAGGGTCGTGTGGGTCTTGGGGCTTAAATAGAAGAATGGTGTTGGGAGCGTTTTCAGGGACAAGCTGCAATTTGGATTTTTTTAGGGGTATCTGATACAATGGATTTCTCTTTAAGGATCTTTTGGTTCTGTCTTTCCCTTTTAACTGGCTGTTCTTGGCCAGCAGCTGGCTTTCCTCGTCACCTCTGGGAAGAGATTCTGTCTGTCTTTTCTTTGGAAGCAGAGTCAGTGGAAGGGGCTTAGCGTTGGGCCGTCTAGGGGTGAGTCCAGCCCTGCCCTTATTAGCACCAGTCTTGGCAGTCGGCATAGTCACTCTGACGCTCGATTTTCCTGCCCGGGAAGTGGGCACTGTGGTCCAACCGAGGTGTGCTGAGCTCCCTGGGGCCCAGGGACTGTCCCAGTCTCTTAACGTGCTTTGTCTCTTGCAGTCCTCGTAACAACTTTATTTTACAGCAGAGGAAACCGAAGCACAGAGAGGCGAACTAACCTGCCCGAGGTCACACAGAAAATGGGAACGG